GCTGGTCCTCGCGGAGAGAGAAACTTAAAAGGGCTGGGGCACTTGCTGCTCTTTACCTTTTAGGGCTTTTTTGTAGTTAAAAGATCATTTAAAAAATCATAAAATCATTTTAAAAATCCAGTATCTTCTACTCAATTTGTAGATTTTAGGTTTTGGAGGTTTTTTTGCAAAACACAGATTTAAAGTTGTTGTTAAATGCAGTTCCACAACCTAGCTTTCATTGCAGCAGTGTAGAAAACTCCTTATTTCAGTACTACTTAGCACTCAGGAACCTGCTGCCTGTTGGACACTTGTCTGCGTTTCCTTGTGTCTTTTTACACCCCGAATTAATTAATCTCACTTAAGATGTTGTAAAACTGCAGAGCTTGAGTTTGTCGTACGCTTCAGACAGTTATCGTAAATAGCCTCGTCTCTCTGTCTTGCAGCTCCACACTGACAGGAAAAGGGGCCGTGCGCCGTGGTTAAGCAGCTAAATCTCAGGCTGGAACAGCGATCTTTCAAAGTACTCCTTTGTCAGCGACCCAGGAGGTCAGATACAGATTTGATTCCTTTTGTTAATAGGCATTAACGCGACAACGTCCCATCTAGAGAGGCAGGTGAACAAGGAAGGAGGGAAGGAGCATGCCTGCTTTGAAAAACAGCGTTTTGTACGGCGAAAGCCAGTGATCAGGCAGTGACCCAAGGCAGAAGGAAACGGAAAGTGAAGCAACTCCTACAGACAAAAGATAAGGAAAGCTCTTGCTGAACACTTGTTCCATGCTGAGAACAGGCCAAACCCTGTGCTTTGAAAATAGAGGGCATATTGAAGTCAAACAGCTTAAACGTTACCCCTCCCTTTGATCCGCTTTGATTTAACACCTGGGGTTTGTTGTTACAGCGCAGTTGCATTTAAGAACAAGACATCACACCCAGTGTAACTGTTTTACCAGTAGCTTTCATCACAGTTTGAGGACAAATTCTCTTTTCATAGCAAACTACTTTTGAGGTTATTTGCAGCCAAGAAAAGTTATGGATGCACTTCTGGTGCAGAGAAGATGGGGGGATAACAGATGTTTTGCCAGAAAATTGTATGAGCCACCAATTGAAGACAGCCTGGACTTCTACTCCCCATCATTCCTGAAAAGAAGTTTCTTCGTGTATAATAATCTTATGTTGATACTAAAATAATTTAACCCAAATGATTTACTGATGAATTTAGCAAAAGCCTACTTTATCAGCAACCAAGGTACTTCAGCAGGCAAAGGGGAATACATGTTCACGCAGTCAAACAAGCAGAGAGAAGCCATATAGTTAGTACTCAATAAAATTGCCCCTGCTTGTCTTGCCCACAGGAGCACAAGGAGGCAGTAAGTACAAGTTTAAAAGCTTCCTTCACTCTGCTTCTGGGAGGCAAGTTTCAGAGGCATTTACCGTTAAAGGTAAATTTTTGTTTGTTTATAATCAGGTTTTGTAAGGTATCTCAAGAATTTGAAAGTATTATGAGAGCCACATCTCCAGCTGTATCACGCAGAGTATATTGTTTATGTGAAGGCTGACTACTACTTATTTGCAGAGCTAAGGAAGTCTTTACTAGCTAGAACTTTGCAAAAGAGCACACTGCACCAACATCAGCTAGAGTTGTCATGGCGATTACAACAGATCTTGCAGTACATCTGTGTCAGTAGCTCCACTTCTGTTCTGCTTGTTAAACACAGCATCATCCCTTCCCACCGGTGCTTGTTAGCTATGTAACAACTTTGTAAAGAATGAACAAGTTTGAACTGAACATAGCTAGCGTGGACTGCGATTTTGCCGAAAAGAACAGCCTCAATATAAGCCCCGCCACTCCAGACTTCCCATCGTAGCAGAGCAAAGGCTTGTCTAAACTTGCCACTTCTGTCACGTAAGTGCCTAGTTCCATTGGTTTCATCTTGGCAGTACGCAGGAAAAAATGAAAAGCTCTAAGTTTAATGCAGTTCTATCAAGATTAAGTTTGTGTACTGCCTTTGAAACATTTTGGAGGTTTTTTGTTGCAAATTTACTGGTTTAAGTGATGTCACATAAAAAGACAGAGTCAAAACCAAGTGTACATTTCTGACCTTTATAGTAAGTAGCATAGGATCAACAGCTCTGACTGTCTGACACCATGACTTTCACCATCCCTTCCATAACGGTCTTTTCACTTTCTTTGACTTTACATGATACTGAAATGTGCGCAATAGAACCCTTCAGTCGTTTAACTTCCGCTGCAGCTATGACTTCTTCATCAGTATACAAAGGAGCTGGAAATCGGATCTCCTGAGAAAGAAATACACAACCTTGACCGGGCATTTTAGTACCCAGAACTGCAGAAATAAGTCCATTGATCAAAACTCCATGTACAATAGTTCTCCCAAACCTAGATTTCTTTGCAAAATCTTCATTTAAATGCAAAGGATTTGTGTCACCTGTTAAATCAGAAAAAGTAACCACATCATTCTGTGTAAAAGCTTTCGTAAGTTCAGCTTTGTCTCCAACTTTTATGTGTAAACTCTGAAGGAAGGGATGTCCAAGGAGGGAGTTGATAACTGTTAGCTTTGTCAAGGCTCTTTGTCGGAAATCCCCTCCAGAAATTCCACGCCTGAAGGGCTGCAACATCTCAAGCAACTTCTGCTTCGTACAACCAAACCAACAACTGCATTCAGTCCAAGACTAGTTCTCTACTGTTGCCAGATAACGCAAGAAGAAACGGAGATGTCTAGTTTGGGGGGAAGAAAAAAAAAAAACCACAAAGCAAGAAACAAACTAAAGCATTTTAAAAAAATTTCACCATCGAGTGCACTCAAAGTTGAAAATACTTAAATTTCCCTTTTACAGAAAAGATTAAAAACTTAGAGCTATGCCCGAGCAGATTTTTGTTTAGCCGTGGCTTCAGAGACAAAGAATTCTTGGAACTCATTTTATTAAGCACCATCCTCTGGAAAAAAATAAACTCTGGAAGTGCATGTTCATGCATGCATTTTTAAACGAGGTCAGTCGACAGTGACTATTAGAAAGGGAAGAAATGGGGTAGAGGAAATAAAAGATTGGACCAAGGTCTGGGCCAAGAACAAAACTTTCCAGAAATTATTTTCTTGCAGATGTATTAATGAGATCAGGACTTCTCATTGGAGTGAAACCATAAAGTAACGAGACAGGCACTACCAGCACATTTTACAAGATTCATTGTAAGATGAGAATCGCTTAAATACAGGCCTACACACCTGCACTGAAAAGCATTTCACTCCCAAACCAAGGTGGTTTTGCATCTAGGCCATCTTTCTACGAAGAGGCAGTGTGCTCAGCTAGCCAGACAACCTTAGAGCGAGAACTGACATTTGGGGGAAGGCATCCAGCCCCTGCAGGGCTTTACCTGCAGCACTCGAAAGGCACACCTCCTGTTCTGGTAGAAGCCCAGCAATGTTAGAGCACTCCACAGCTTGACGAGGCCACTAAGTAAAAAGAAAACAAAATATATTAATAAAATTTGGTTTTCTCAGTTTTCCTGCAGCATAAACATCTTAAATAAAAACATGTAACATAACAAGTAACGAAACCTTAACTGAGTTTAACAGCAGGTAATTTCATCAATGAGTTCTAGTAGCAACACTATGCCCTGAAGGGTTGTCACAATGACGGCAGTCTCTTGTCCTTGACATACAGAGATTTGTACTGTAACCTTTTCCAGTTTGCTTTACCGGCCCTGTTCTTGTTCTCTCTGTGCATTTAAGCTCCTTCTTCCCCTAAATCACCTGCAGTTGTCTTCACCATTTCAATCTGGTAACCATTCTCATCTTTACTATAGAAAGAGATTTAAAGCCACATATTTCAACGATGCTTAGTTCCTGTCAGACAGTTCTGTTTTAAAGCAGGAATAATGTACTGATGCATGTAGGTTACCAAATCTTAGTGAATTTTTATTTATTTTCCACATGCTGTATGCAGATGTCTGCAAGTTAGGCTTAATTCTTCAAAGACCATTCTTAGCTTAAGTGTTCTGTTTTCTTACGAAAAATATTTTCATAGCAGTATCTGAAGTGTGTACCTACTGTACCTTACCTGCTAATAACTCTTAATATGGCAGACAGCGTTTTTTCCTCATATGTTAAGACATCAACAGGCAAAGCTGCTCCAACCTATGAAAAAATATATTATTTAATAAGTACCATCCTATGTTCTTATAGTGGTTTATAAGCAAGTGAATTCACTGCCAGCACGTGACATCATTAAAGGTGTTATAGTTACGCTCAAATCTCACATGAGTGTTTCAGCTGCAACACTAGATTTTATACAGTACCCTTCCTCTCGGAGTTCTTTAGATAGAAGCCACTTTTACTTCCACATTACAGCTGAAGAAACAGGGACCCAGCAGTGATGTGACTTGCTTAAAGTCTCACAGCAATACTGTAAACACAACAAGAATAGTAGTGTGGACTTCCCCATCCAAGAAGCTGCTCCGTTCCTATAGTTCTTCTTTTAAAACCTCTCTACAGTGAAAGCATCAAACAAGAATAGTAGTGTGGACTTCCCCATCCAAGAAGCTGCTCCGTTCCTATAGTTCTTCTTGCCAGATACGCTGGAGCCACTTGACTATAGACGCTAAGATGAAACGTACAACCGCAGCCTCACTAGGAGCACGGTACAACACGGGCTGGAGAGCAGGTAACGGGTTAACGGAGAGGCAAACCGAAGACACTTATCCCGCCTCCGCAGGCCCAAGGCTCC